CTCTCAGCTCTGCCAGGACAGGGAGCTCTTTTTAATTAAGAAGAATGGAGCCTGCTGCTGGCTCTGGAAATGGTGAGGTTAACTTGCTAATGGGCATTTAAAGAGCCCTGTTTGAATGGTCTGTAGCCTTCCCCAGTCTGTGGCCTCTGCCCTGCTGTTGAGCTGCCCAGGCCCCGTGAGGCTCTGCTTTCCTCCGCGTTAGGAGGACTGGAGGATAAGCCCTGCCGTGGCCCCAGTGCCCAGCCAGGCCCTGGCCTGGAGACCTGGAACTAATGGCCATATCTTTGCTTTCAGAGGAAGGGCCGCAAGGGCCAGAATCGGGACGACTTGAGCCCTTGAGTCCGCTGCCTCCTGTCCTGGCAGCCTGTGGGAAGGCAACAGGTACCCCAAAGTGTCAGGACCTAACCGCAAGCATGATTATCTTCCGGTGGGGGGGTGCCCAAGGTCTACAAGGCGCCAGCCCACCGGCGACAGCTACAGTTGTCACAAGACCCCGTCCCCCCGTGTTCTGGGCTGACTGGGGAAAACGAGGGTAGTGGTAACAACAGGGCCAGAGGAAGGCCCCCAGTAAGGTAGCTGGCAGGGCCTACAAGAGCCGGTAGGGCCAGACCCTTGTGGGTTTGTGCCACCAGCAAGAATGTAAGGCTGTCCATTCTGGAACCTGCTGCTTTGTCACTATGGTTAAATGATTCTTTCTGTAGGGTTCCCACCCTGTGTCCCCCAGGAGTAAAGAACATTCCAGCTAGGAGAGACTCTCAGTCCTGTCTTTCCTGTTTCCAGGGTCTCCCGGGCAGCTGGGAGGGGGAGGGGGTGGCCGTGATACCATGCCTCTCACCTCACCTCCTGCTGGTGTTTTAATTTTCTGATACTCCTGGGCTGGAAATTCTTCCTCGTTTATAACCCAGGTCCGCAGGCTGTGCCATAAGGCCCGTTTTCTCTCACACTTTCCTTGATAAACACAGGGATGCAGCTAAGGCCTTGCAGAGCTTCCCTTCCTGCGGGCATTGCCAACTCACAGGAAGCAGCGAGGAGTGTGTGCCTTCCCAGCTCCTTCCCTAACCCCTGCAGCTCCTGAGTGGGAACCAGGATGACCTGGCCCCGGCCCCACCGCGACAAACCTCAGGCCACCTTCCAGCCTCCCCATTTCACCTAAATAGGCAGGGGCTGCTCAGAGGTGGACAGACTCATTCCCCAACTGACACCCTAGGAGGCCCTCCAGCCCCGACCTGTGCTCTGGAGGAGGGAGCAGGGTGGGGAGCAGAAGGAACGCAGCTAACTGAACTCTGGTCAGGAGGGGGACCCCTACTGCTGGGCCATTCTGCAGGACCCCGATTGCCACTCCAAGAGTGGCAGTGCCACGTGAACAGATGCAGATTACAGTTCTGACTGCTGACACCTGTGTCAGCGTGCAACCAAGTCCACCTGAGCCCTGAATCCTCCCTCGGGGCTGATGTGGGCCTGGGCGGAGGAGGCCCACACGAGGCTTTCCCACGTTGGCCAAGGAATCCACCCTTCCATTGGTCTGCCGGCAGCCTCAGTCCTAAGTGGGTGAGTCACTCTCACTCCCCAACCCCCGAGTACACCCCAGCTTCTGATGAGGAACAAGAAGGTGATTATCCGCAGGAAGGGCACCAGCTGCGCCTCCGGTCAGAATGCCGTTGGGGCTGCTGGGGAGGAGATGCTATCCAAGACCTGGTCCAGAAATGGTTGGCTGCAGGAGGGTGTGGGCCCAGGTAAGGTGCCTGCTTTGTGGAATTGGCACCTGCTCTTTGGGCCCCGGCCTGAATACGCAGGTCAGAGGTTCGGAACCTTGCCATCACAAGGAGGAAGGAAGACTCCCCTTCACAGAGTACCTACTGCCTGCCCAGGAACTAGGCCAGGCATCTGATTCCTCCCACAACTCTAGAAAGTATGTTTGCTTATTCCCCTTTTCACAAATGAGGAACTGAGATTCAGGGCTATAAGTGACTCATTCGTGGTCACTTGGCTGGCCGAGCCAAGATTCAGGCCCAGCATCTGATTCCAGACTCCATACTCTTCCCACAGAATGATCTATGGGGCATTCTAGAAAGACAACTACACACAGAAGGTGAGCCTGGCCTCGGGAGCTCCCAGTGTGTCGTCCCTCCAGCCAGCAGAGCACCACAGAGGCTGTTCTGGTGGTGCCCGCCCACAGGAGGGGAGCCGCCTGTGTGAGGAGGGGTGGAGCTGCCACAGTCCCTACCAGCTAACCACTCCTCTTTCCCTCCCCCAAGGTGCCTTGCACTCGGAATCCCACGGGCACCTGAAGCCCTGCACACAGTTACTCCATGCGTGGCCTCCACGCTGGGAACCCGCCTAGGTTACTGGGAAGAAACTGTCCCAGCCCCACACCCTCAGCTCCCCCACAACCTACGTCAGAATTCCGTGAGGGTAGATCCCTGCTGAATATCTGATATACCCACTCGAGGTGGGGTAAACTGTGCATTTTATTGTATGTAAATTAGACTTAAATAAACCCAGGATGCGACTTTTAACAAAAATCCTTACAGAGTGACTTTCGCTGGGTCTGAGCCCCCTTCGCAAGTCTGGTTGACGCATCAACATCAATGATGGAGACTCCGCAGTACGGAAGTCATGAACTCTCCTCCCCACCTTCCCTACCCTCCCAGCACCACCTTGCAAGTCAGGCAAAAAGTCAAAACACTTTTTAAGAGAGAAAAGAAACCCAGGCCCGATGCTAGATCTTAGAGCAAGAAGGATTTAGGTTTGGCATGAGGAAGAACTTCCTGACAGGGAAAGTGGCCACACACTAGAATGGGGTAGTAAGGCATCACAGAGGTTGCCAGACTCCCCACCTCTGCCTGGCACTGCATAAGGCCCCAGCGTGGTGCACTCAGCCCAGGCAAGGAAACCACAGGTGACTCAGGGAATCTTAAGTGGCGGTTGCTAGGTTACAAGCTTCCTCAAAGTGCACTCAACTTAAGGACTAAAGGATGTCACCTGGCTGAGAGGAAGAGCCACGGGGGAAGGAGAGGAGAAGATGGAGAGAAGCCAGGACTTCCAGAATAAGCAATTAGGTGTGGCCTGGAAGGCATCCTGTTCTCAATACTTTTCCAAGGGTCCGAGTCCCTAGATCCTACGGTCTTCACGGAGGGCAGTGCTTGTGGTACAAGAGCGTCAGGTTGGAATGGAGACTCACTGTGGGGCTGGATTCCAGCCCTTTCACAGCCGTGCTGCCCAGTGCAGACAGCGTGCAGTGGGGAAAGGGCAGTGGCTGGACCTCTCTGGGAGTCTGGCCTCCTCCCTTCGCTGCAGTTGGACAAAAAGCCAGAAGCCAGGTAAGGATGGAAAAGTTTGATGTCCTTCGTAATGCACAATTCTTTCATTTGTGATTTAATTGTGATAAAGTGAGAAAGCATTGGATTTGGAATTCACAAACTAGACCCACTCTGAACTGCCAGCATGGTCATAAGTCAGCTACTTCATTTCACTAAGTCTCAGATTCCTCATGTGTAAAAAGTGATACATCTGCCCTGGCAACCTTTCCCAGGGTTGCTTTAAGATTAGAGAAAATGGACATGCAAGGGCTTAGTTTAGCTCAACGAGCTAGGCAAACATAAAGTAGTATGGAACTCCGTATGCCTGCTCATCACGCAGCCCCAGCTCGGGGGCTGGGCCACCAGAAGCCTTGCTTTGGTAGAAAGAGGCTGAAGACGGACCCAACAAGCCCCGTTGAGGAAGCTCTATGGCTTTTAACCTTCCTGATCACCCCGTGCTGACTTTGTGAAGACGGTTCAAGCTGAGGGCTGAGGGTTTGTTCCCTATTCCTCTGGACAGATTGTGATTCCTAGGGAGAAAGAGAAATGTTTGATGTTTCCTGTGAAACTTCCTTAATTCAGACCACATTCTTTTGGAATTTATGAGTTCTTATTGAATAAAAAGAAAGCAACACAATCTTCCTCTGTGAAGGTTCTAGAGGTGCTTACTTTGTAAGTACAGAGAATTTAAACTAAAAAACTGTGGAATTTCTAAGCCAAGAACTCACGATATTAAGATGGGCCTGTCATGAGTTGTGACTTCCGTTTCTCCCAGGACATCATTTCCAAGTGAGGGGTAGCATGTGTGTGCTTGTTCTGGGTTTTCCTTTTTCCTGGTTTTGTTGGCAGTGGTTATAGAAGTCATGGTATTAACAGCGACTTACCAGGCCCTTGCTACGTGGCAGAAACTGGACTGAGCACTTTGCAAGCACTACCTCATGTAATCCCCACAACATCTACAAGGATACAGCCAGACCATGGAATGCTACTGGGAGATAAAAGGGAATCAACTATTGATACATGGAACAACCTGGATGAGTCTTCATGGAATCATGCTGGGGGCAACCAATCCCAGAAGGTCATACGATTCTATTTATACAACATTCTTGAAATGACAAAATTCTGGAAATGGAGAAGAGATTAGTGGTTGCCAGGGTTTGGTGAGCGAGGGCTGGGAGAGAAGGAGGTGTGGGTACAAAAGGGCAGCATGGCGTCCTCGTGGTGATGGAAGTGTTCTGTGTCTTCACAGATCTATTTCCATATCCTAGGTGTCATATTATTGGACTATAAGTTTTGCAAGCTGTTACCATCGAGGGCAACTGGGTCAAGGGTGTTATTTCTTACAACTGTTTGTGAATCTTCAATTTATCTCAAAATTCAAAGGTAACAAGGGCCGCCCCGTGGCCCAGTGGTTAAGTTCGTGTGCTCTGGTTCCACAGTCCAGGGTTTCAAGGTTCACATCCTGGGTGCGTACACGGCACTGCTTATCAAGCCACACTGAGGCCGCAGCGTCCCACATAGCACAACTAGAAAGACCTACAACTAGAATATACAACTATATATACTGGAGGACGTTGGGGAGAAGAGGGAAGAAAAGATTAGCAACAGATAGTAGCTCAGGTGCCAATCTTTACCCAAAAAAAATCTTTAAAAAAAGGTAAAATAATATAAGGAAACTGAGGCTCAGAGTACTTAAATAATTTCAGAGCCGTAATTCAAACCCAGGTCTGTCAAACTCCCAAGCCTGAGAGTTTCAAGACTTGGCTGTATTCAAGGGAACCAAGTAGGAGGAGGACCCTGCCAGGCTTGCAGCCCATCAGACCAGGTGGCCCACTGATGTCATGGGCAGCTTTGTTACTGGGGACTACTCTCCGGAAAAAGCTACCAGAGAGGGACTTGAAAGAACTATTTCGCAAGCCCTGTGTGTCGGTGCTGAGGGCCGACTGAATAACCATGTTTCCCCTTCCCAAGGTGTGGGAAGGAGGGAGAGAGGTGGAGAGACAGCCTGTGTGTTTATCTATGTTGATGTCTCCGGTTGTGCGTCCACCCATCTATGCATTTGTCAGTTTCTCCGTGGATATGTCTACTTCCGAGTGGGCGTAGGGTGATGTGTAAGTTACGCATATGTGTGCAGATAGGTGTATACGCTGTTTGCATGCACCTGTGTCAGGTCTGCATGTGTCACACCACATAACTTGTTTCTATTAGGTTAAACTATTTGATAATACCTCCCCCAAAGCAAAGCCAGCTATTGAGCCAGCCTGTCACGAACTGAGTCTGTGTACTGTATAGATAAACTGGGTAATTGGACTCTCCGCCCCCTCACCAAAACAAACACAAACCGCCCACCCCTACACTGGAGGAAGTCTGGTCCCTGTCATCTGGTACGTAGTTGGCTCGAGTATCCCGCTTTCCCTGGCCCTGGAGACAAGGGGAGCATCTCCCGCCGGCCGCGGGCCGGGCGCCGCAGGGCTTATGTAAGGAGGACACGGCGTGCCCCGCCGTGGGGCGCACGCGGATTCCTGCACAGGTGTGGCGGATGTGTGCCGCGCGAGCTCGCCGGCCCCCTCCCCGGCGGCCGCTCCGCTTCTGCTTCCTGCTGCTCATTTATCCTCCTCATCTTCCTGTCTGACAGCGGTGCGGACCGGGGAAGGACAGAGCGCCCTCTCCCCTGTCCCCGCGCCGCCGAGGGGGGCTGCCCGCTCTCGGGGAACGAATGCGCCGTGTGCGCTGGCCGCCGCGCGGCCCGGCCTGGCTGAGTAAGGGGCGGGGGGCGGGGGTGGCGGGGAAAGGAGGCGGCGGCGCGGAAAGGTGGTAATTCCTCGCTCTGCCGGGTGCCAGCCAGGCGCCCGGACCCCAGAAAGCCGCCCCCGCCCCGCGCTCCGCGCGTTCCCGACCAGCCGGCGGGGAGGGGCGGGGGACAAAGCGGTGCGGGCGGTGCTGCCACCGCGGGGTGGCGCCCTCGGCCGCCGCGTCCTCCCTTTAAAGTTGGAGAGGAGCGGGGAGCTCGCCCGCGCGAGGAGGCGAGGGCGCGTGGCCCCGACTGCCCTTGACTCTCCCCATTCCTCCCGCAGGGCCAGGCGTGGAGGCCGCCGGACCGCTGAGTCTTGAGGGACGGTGAAGCGCTGGCCGGCGTCGGGGCCTTTGCCGGAGATCGGGCGGGAGCCAGCGCCCGGGAGCCAGATGGAGGCGGCGAGAGGGGGCGCGGAGTAGCCGGCGGACCCCCGGGCGCGCACCTCCCGCGGCGCCCTGGCGCTCCGCCGGCGCGAGGCGGGCGGGGTCCCCGGGGCTGCCATGGAGGTGCCTAGCGTCAAGGACTTCCAGTGGAAGCGCCTGGCGCCCCTGCCCAGCCGCCGGGTCTACTGCTCCCTGCTGGAGACTGGGGGGCAGGTCTATGCTATCGGGGGATGTGACGACAACGGTGTCCCCATGGACTGCTTTGAGGTGTACTCCCCCGAGGCCGACCAGTGGACCGCCCTGCCGCCCCTGCCCACAGCCCGGGCCGGGGTGGCCGTCACCGCCCTGGGGAAGCGGATCATGGTGATCGGGGGCGTGGGCACCAATCAGCTGCCCCTGAAGGTCGTGGAGATGTACAACATCGATGAGGGCAAGTGGAGGAGGAGGAGCGCGCTGCGTGAAGCTGCCATGGGCATTTCTGTCACGGCCAAAGGCGAGTGGGGCCAGGGCGGAGGGCGGGCAGGGGGAAGAGAGAGGGAGCCACAGGGAAAGGGGTGAGAGCCAACAGCAAGTTGGGGGCCCATTATCACATTCCTGATCCCATTTGACCCTTACAGTAGACATTAAAATTAGAGACCCACAGACCTTATTTTACAGATGGGAAAACCGAGACTCAGCAAAGTGAAGTGTCTGGTAATTCCTTATGATGCCAGAGCTCCCCTCCAACGGGCTCCTCCCAACAAACCGGGCAGGCCCTGCCAGAGGGGAGAGCCAGAGGTTCAGGGCAATGTCTCCGCAGAACGCTTCATGCAGCAGGATGACCCAGGCTCCCATCCACAGCACCCTGTCCACTGAAATCTGCCTTACATGTGCCACCATCTCCAGACACTGGAGTAGCTGGGGTTCTGGAGATGGTCACTCTATCCTTGTACCGTTGGCAGGCCCCACTGGGAGTGCTTGGAGACCTGATTCCCAGGCCTTCTCCCCACCCTCAACCTCCCGTCTGTCTCCTAATCTCAGAGATACTGATGTGTGGAGCGCAGAAGTTTCCTGATGGATGTGCTCCTGCAGCATCTTGCCCCAGTTTGCTAAGTTCTCAACGCACGTATGTGCTGACCACAGGGTTTCATGGTTCTCATTTCACTTCCTCCAAGCCCCTCATTGCCTTCTTTTCAGGTGCAGCACAGCCCAGAGCATAGAAGGGGCTCCAAAAGCTCTTTTGTGAGACACAATAGGTTTTATGGGAAATGGTCCAACAGGAGTCAGGAGACCCCAAGTTCAGGTCAGACAGGCTTGATGGGATGCAACCTTCTCTCCCTCTCTTGCAAAACCATCCCAGCTTCCTGTTGGGTCTACTGTAGATCAGGAACCAGTATTTCTGGAGTGCCCGCTCTGTCCCTGGCACAGTTCTAGGTCCCAGGGAGGAAGGAAAGAGGCAGATCTGATCCCTGCCTTCAGGAGCCTGGATCTGACCAATGAAGGTGACCAGAGAGAAACTAAGGCAGAATCTCTCAGAGCACACTGGCCCATGGGGCCTCCAGGAACTCCTAGTAAGCAGGAGGGAAGGCACAGAGGCCGTGGGGGAAGAGACGGCGTACTCCATCCCCAGGCCTCGGTCAGTGGTGCAGAGAGATTGCAGACTAACGTTTATTGAGTCCCTCCCATAGGTGCTTTGTATGTGTTAGCCCCTCTGATAAGAGCTATTATGATCCTCCTTTTAGAGAGAAGCAGTTCAATAGCTTGCCCAAGGTTATGCAGCTGGCAAGTGATGATCTAGTCCGCCCTTACCTATGGCATTGAATGGGATCACAGTTAGTGTAATAAGAATTTACATGCCTGTGTGTCAGGCATTGACCAGATGCCAGGGCCACAGATTAACAAATTCTCCAGGACCTAACAATCTGTTGAGAGAAACAGACAAAGTAATGTGTGGTGAGTGGGCCGGTGCAGGGCTCAGGTGCGCTGAGTGGGCCCTGCCTTGCAGTTCAGGGACACCTAGGTGAATCTGAAAGGATGAGAATGGTGGCAGGGGAGGGTTCCCAGCTGGAGGAGTTTCAGGTGACACAGGGATGGGAGAGGTGGAGCTTGTGTGAGTAAATTCCTCATTAGGCTGCAGCTCCCAGGCACAGGCTAGGGTTGGGATTTTTTTTCTTTTTTTCAGTAAGATTGGAAAAATAGAAGGAAATAGTACTCCTCCCTGTAATACCCTTGAAGAATAAAGGCTTCTCAGAGCTAGAAGCAGTGAGGACTGGCTACTCGGAGACAGAATCCCAGGCAGGGGTGGGTCCTGGGAAAAAAGAGGGCCTGGGTGTTGGGGGGAGTTGTGTCCTTGACAGGCCGCAGGAGGTACTGGGGTAAGGCCCAGGGAAACATGGATGCCTTGCCCATCCTCAGGCAGTGTGTCAGGGAAGTACCTTGAAAGGCTACCTGCAGCCAAGAGCCGTAGAGAATGGGGGACTCCGGAGAGTCCTGCCTCTGCAGGGTTTCTTAAAGGGGCCAGTTTTCTCTCCTCCGAGGCCTCCCTCTCAGTACCCTAGCCCTATGCTATTTAGTGCAGGGTGCCTCCTGGAGCCCTAGGCTTCCCAGTGTGTCAGGGAGGATGGCACTGCCCGAAGGGCGTGGCAGACAAACAAAGAACCAGCAGCAGTCCAGTGTCCCACAAGAACAGTGACGGTAGGGCTGACCTTGTTTCCAAAGGCTCCTGCTGGGTCTAGAGAATTCCAGTCTGGGAATGCCTGGGGCACAGGCCACTGCTGCAGGGGGTGAGAGGAATGAATGCCCTCTTCTTTAGCATCCCCTCTGGCTGCCCAGGCAAGAGGAAAATGGAGGGGACGACACCTGCAAAGGGCTGTCCAGCCCTAGACTGCACCACAGCCTACCCCTGTGCAAGGCTCAGTGTTTCGGGCTTGGCCAAGGGCCGCACACCAAGGAAGGCTGAGGCATGTAGGCCTGAACCCAGGCTCCCCCATGGCAGGGACTTTAAACGGTGCCATCTGCCCCACTGACCTATAAATAGCTCACTCTGGCAGAGCAGTGCTTGGCCACCTGGCCTGGCTTCAGTGCTGGTGTTCGAGGCATTAGTGGAGCCTGGCCCTGCTAGGTGATGAGTGCTGATGGGCCTGTCTCAGGTGTCTGTGAGCTGAGCCCGGGCTGTGTGCGGCCTCTCTCCTTAGATTACCGAGTATATGCCGCAGGCGGAATGGGCCTGGACCTCCGTCCACACAGCCACCTTCAACATTATGACATGCTCAAGGACATGTGGGTGTCCCTAACACCCATGCCCACTCCGAGATATGCTGCCACCTCCTTCCTCCGAGGTTCCAAGATCTACGTGCTGGGTAAGGATGGGTTGTCTGTCCCACATCCACCCCTCCTGCCCTGCCCTGGGTCAGTTCCCGTGGGAAGCAGTGCCTGGCTGCTGGCATCTCCTTGGCACTGGAGAGTAATCACACTGACCCACCGCTCAGGGAGCTTCCTGTATGATTGGGGACAGTCAGAAGGGAAGGAAGCCCAGCCCCCGGCCTCAGGGACTGACTCTTGTGCTCCACCCCACCCTGCTCTGGCCTCCAGGGGGACGACAGTCCAAGTATGCGGTCAATGCCTTCGAGGTCTTTGACATCGAGACTCGCTCCTGGACGAAGTTCCCCAACATCCCCTGTAAGCGGGCCTTCTCCAGCTTTGTGACCCTGGAGGACCGCTTGTACAGCCTGGGGGGCCTGCGGCAGGGTCGGCTCTACCGGCAGCCCAAGTTCCTCCGGACGATGGACGTGTTCGACATGGACCAGGGTGAGCTGGGCATCCACCCCTGGCTGCCCACCTCCCTGCTGGCTGACTTCCCCCACCTTACCCCCATCCACCCACCCTCCCAAGGCCACTAACCTGGCTGGGTGAGCCTTCCAGAAATCTGAACAGCCCTCTCCATTCAGGGCTACTCTTGGGATCCCATTCTTTCATCAGTACAGGGCTCCCTTGGGTGGGTTGCTTGGTTCTATCTAAGCCTTTTCCATTCGTTGTCTCTTATGACATCCAGGCAGGGCCGGGCGAGGGAGGGCTTTGTTCTGCTTTTCAGTCGTGGAGAGACTGGAGTATCCTGACCCCATGCTCGCACCTCTAGTCTGCCTTCTCTCCAGCTTGGAGCCTGTGAGAAGAGGTGGAGCACGGGGATCCTTCACAGGGGCTTCTAGCTCCTTGGCTGCAGCAAGCATGGGAGGGGGTGGCGGCCATGGATGGTGTCGTTTCAAACAGCAGGAGGCATTGTATATGCCCTTAGCGCAAAGGGTGGCTGGATGGAGACACTGCCTAGGGCGAGAGCTGTCTGAACCTCTGTGTATTTGGTGGGGGTGGTCAGCATCTAATTCTCTCTATATATCCTGCCATCATCCATGGCTGTAGGGGGATGGCTGAAGATGGAACGCTCGTTTTTCCTCAAGAAGCGACGGGCAGACTTTGTGGCCGGCTCTCTGAGTGGACGGGTCATAGTGGCTGGAGGACTTGGTAAGCATGGAGCTTCCAGGCTGGTACTGTGGTTCTGGTGCTGGTAGATCCCTGGCACTCCACCAGAGCAAGAGAAGGTGCTGGTTCCTTACACATTGCCTGCCTACCACTTCATTCCAGAGAATTCAAAACACTCTCTTGCTTCTAGCCTGGACTTCATGTGTCCACATATGGGCCCCAGTCATGGTCTTTCTGTTCTCTTACATGGGGAAATCTGAGGCCCAGGGAGCGTAAGGACATGCTGATAACTGTGTAACACAGGCTTGCTGAGCACAGCTCCCTGGGGCTCTGTCTGGGAACGACTAGAGGCAAAAATGTGGCTAGGGTCAACCTTGGTCCTGGTCTCTGACCGTCTCTTCTCCCTGGAGACCCAGCTCTGTCATGGAATAGAACAGCAATCTGATCAAATAAGTTATTCTAATGAATTCAGGATTTGCCGTATTACCGCTCCCAGAGACGAGTGGCGTTCTGAAGGCAGGATCCCAGCATCAACAGGGGAGAGATGTGTGGGCAGCAGGGCTTCTAGGCACACAGAGTTTACTCAGTGGGGACAGACCACACTTTACCCACGCAGAAAAGGAGCCCCATGGGAGCTAGATCAGCTCCCAGCCAGGACAGGCAAAGAGGCTGTTGGACAGAAGCTACTGGCCCGGGCTAGGGAGAAGGAGCAGTTCTGCGGCGGAGGAAGTTGTGGTTGCCTGGCTTCTCCTTGTGGCTTCCAGAGTGAGGGTGGAGATGGGGCGACTGCAGGGCTGGACTCCTTTGTAAGGTCTGGTTCCCTTGGCACTTTCAGGGAACCAGCCCACTGTCCTGGAGACAGCAGAGGCGTTCCACCCTGAGAAGAACAAGTGGGAGGTCCTCCCCGCCATGCCCACGCCCCGCTGTGCCTGCTCCAGCACTGTCGTCAAGAACTGCCTCCTGGCCGTGGGGGGCGTCAACCAGGGTCTGAGCAATGCAGTGGAAGCCCTGTGTGTCTCTGACTCCTAGCTGTCCCTGGGCCCAGCGCCTTTGTCCTACACCAGATCACCCCACTCTTGACAAGAGGAATGGTCTCATCAAAGCAGTTTGGGCTACTCCCCAGGATGCCAGCTCCTATCAGCAGCCAGTGGGCTCAGGCGCTGTGGCTCTGAGTGACCTCCCTCCGCCTCCAAACCCTACCAGTCACAGGAAACTCGCAGAAGTTGTGATGACTCCGCCAGCCTGGTTGGAGCTCCGCTGACCTCTGGGGAGAGTCCTCACTGCTCGGGCAGAGGAAGGCACAGGAGTGTCTGCTGCCTCCCCTCCTGTGAATCCGCTTCTCCCCACCTCCAGGGTAGGAGGTAGGGGGGCAGTTCTCACTCAGAGGATGGGTTGCTGTCACTGTCCTTTCCCTAGCTCTGAACTCGTTTGAGGATCTCTTCGAAGGGAAAGTGGAGAGGGTTTGGTGGGGTGGGGTGATGGGGGGGGGTCCCAAGCCCCCCACATCCTCTCTCCTCTCCCTTGGTCTACATCCTTTCCCCATTTGGTGGTCAACTGTGGGCCTGCCCTGGACCTCATCTACTCAGCAAGAATTGGCCTTGGAGCTAGAGGCGGCTGAACTGGAAGGGAAGTCAGGTTCCCATGGATGGGTCCAGGTTGGCAGCCTTGGCCAGGAAGGACCCATGTGCCTCGGGGCCCTTGATGGGAATCTGATGATGGGGAAGGAGCTGACTGCCCGCCCAGGGTCTTCTCCTCACTCTGTTTCTCCTTCTGCCACCCCTCCCCACCAGAGGCCTGGCCCTTTTGTCATTGATGGCCCGAGAGTGGTTCATTGTGAGACCTTCTCATTTACACTGTGGCATCACAATCCATGAAGGATGGAGTCATTGCATTCTGGTTAACAGCAGCAGCACAATGATTAAAATCTATATTCCTATCTTCTCTGGCACCCTCGTGCGAGGTGGGGTGGATGGGTCTCTAGATGGGTAGAGGGGACCCCATGAAATGGTCCCTCAGACATTCTCAGGCTAAAGAGGGCCCCCAAGTGACCACCTATTCTTGGCTGTTGCCTCTAAGGAGGTTCCACCTCAAATCATCACTTCTCCACCAGTCACCTCACTCCTAGTAAAACGGCGCATGTTCCTTCTCTTAAGTGTTGAGATTGCACATATTTGTTAAGAAAAGGTGGCATTCGTTGACTGACTGCCCCCTCAGCTTACTCCTTCGCATGGCTAGCCTCCTTTCATTCAGCATAAGCTCGTTTCTATCTTGCCCAAAGTAGAAAGGGAATTGCTCACTGATTTAAAAATGTGAAGAACCTGCCTCTTTTAGATTATACAGCACCTCTTTTTGATTCCCAGTTTTTTTTAAAAGCTCTGCTAGCGCTGGGGAGACAAAGATGAAAAGAATACCTGCCCTGGAGGGGTTGTGGGGAAGTCGGATAACACTTTTTCCTGGGGGTAAAATTATTCCTCACGAGGCAGGAACAGAGAAGGCAGCCTGTCCGGCTCTGAAGGGCCAGGAGCCTCCCGAAGGAGGTGACACCCCCTGAACCTTCACGGACAAGGGGAGCTCCCGTCTTAGGGGAGAGGGGTTTCTCTCTCCCTCTGGGGCCCTGGAAGGGCACTGCCACCTGCTGGCCCAGCCTTTCCTTCCTGCCCAGCTGGAGGTTTCCTGTGGCCTCGGGTGCCCCCTGGTGAGCAGACTGCAGAGGTCTTGCCTGTTGCTTCTGGATCCCCTATTTCAGTTCAGGCCCCTGGAGTAGCTGTTAGAAAAAGGTCTGGAGGAGCTGGAGATCCTCTGAGGGATGGGTGGGACGGCACGTTAGGGGAAGCCGTTCCAAAGCCTAGCTCCGGTCTTGTCTCCCCATCCCACTCCCCTTTCTGCGCTGCCCAGACCGCTCCACAAGAGAGCTGTTTGCAAACGGGGTCCCTCCACCCTTGCCAAGAAGCGAAGCCTTGGGGGTGCTTTCTAAGCACATAAAATGGTACTAGATCCGTGGATGGGATGGTTGGAACCTTAGGGGTGCAGCCAGTCCTAAAACGTTCTTCCCATTATGAGAATGGGGAATTGGCTGCTGGAACTGGTGAGGGCCACTCAGAGCTGGAGCTGCTATCTGCTGAGGACTCACGTCTTGGAGGTCCATTCTAGGAAGACTTTGGGGGTGCCTCAAGGAGGAGCCAGGAAAATAGGGAATGTCAGTGGGAAACCACTTGGTCTGCACCGCGTGGTGCCATGGAGGCCGCTCAGGGACTGGGGTCGGATGGCCTGGCTCCAGTCCTCACTGCCCTCCCCGCCACAGGCTCTCTGGTCACTGTCCCCTCTGGGAAGTCCCTGCCCTCTTGTTTCATTTTCCAGTCTGAAACAAGAGCAGTGAGGGTGCCATCGCCCATGGGGGTGAAGCACCTGCTTATGTCCTCAGGTTGACTCTAGGAGGTGGAGGTAGGATTGTCCCATTTTGCAGAAGAGAAAACTAAGGCTCGAGGAAGTTGTATAACTCGTCCAAGGCACGAGCTAGTATGTGCCTGAACCAGGTCTGACTGCAAAACTTGTGACTCAAATGAGACAGCACAGAGGAAGTCAAGAAAATCAGCTGCACTGACCCGTGTAATGGGTTCAAGATGTCCAGCTAGGAGGGTGGAGACTGTCTCCCAAGGAATGAGTGTGAGGATTAGCAAGGAAAGGTTGGGAAAGGCTCCCTACCGTGAAATGAGCACAGAATGTGCCTCAATTTGTATTCCAGGAAAGTTCCCGTCTGGCTTCGTCCTTCCGTTGGCTATTCCAAAGCGTTGTTCCACATCGAACACCACTGTATTCCTGGCCTGGGGCCGGGTGTGGGATTCCTGCCCCCCAGCAGTTGCAGTCGTGGGAGGGTAGGGACTACATCTGCAGCTACCATCTGAGGAGACAAGTGTCAGCCCTTGCTAGTGCAACCCAGAGGCGCCCCAGCCGCGGTGGCTGCAGAGAGCCAGGACGACCGACCGAGGGTGTCGGGGCAGGCTTCCAGAAGTACATCTCGACTGCATTTGAAAGAAGAGGGAAACCGGCCAGGCAGAGGAGGAGGAGCCCAGACGTGGAAGCAAGAGAGATGGGGTCAAATCATAATTGTCATGTGCTAATTGACCTTGGGGACATTGTTAACCTCTCTGAGTCTCAGTTTCCTTATGTGTGAAATGGGCAAAATAAGGCCTCCCTGTGAGGTTGAGCTACCTAACTTATGTGAAATGACTCGTGTGTATCAGGCGAGCAGCTGCATTGTCATTTTCGTTGTTGAAGGAGAGGTTAGGGGTGTTCTCAAGCCCACTGCGGGGAAGGGTGGGCTTGTTTGGGGGGCAGCTCACACACAGCAGAGATTCCAGGGAGGTGGGGCTGCCAGTGCAGCTGGAGCGGACCGAGAATGGCCTCACGTGCCTTGTTGAGGAGCCTGGACTTTACCTACATGGGGAACTGGGAGCAAATTAAGGCTTCTGAGAGAAGGAGCGTCATGATCAGATTCGTACCATTGGAACGTGGGATATTCCGAGTTCCTCTTCGGAGGGAAATGAAGTAAGTGCAGTCACCAAGGCACCATCTAAGGTCAGAGGGACCCAGGTGGGGTTGGGATCCTTGGGAAACCATGTGGGTCCAGCTTTCCGGGCCTCCTCTGGAGGAAGGTCCATCTTCTGGGCAATCAGAGTGCCGGGACGGTTTGGGACCACAGAGAGGGGACAAGTCCCTCCCTCCATCACATCATTTCCTCGAGAAGTTCTTTCTTCCTTGCATTTGCGTTGGGCCTTCTGCCCACAGAGCTCCTGCATGGAAGGCGGGCGTACGGTTGGCCTTTTCCAACCCCCGTCTTATAAAAGAAGGAACTGAGAACCAACCAGGAACCCTGCACCTGACCTGGGCGGCACAGCTGGTCAGTGAGGGGAAGGAAATTCTAACCTAGCTCAGAGGAGCGCACAACGCCCGCACCGTCCTCCTGAGCCCTGCCTGGGGTCATCACCCTCGCCCCAGCCTTCCGCTCCAGAGGCTGCGGGAACGGGAGTTTCCAGTTTGGTGAGATCAAAGTTGCGTAGGCTTGAGCACAGGGCAGGATCCGGGCAAGCGCCGAAGAGACAGACACGTCAAAGGACCCAGGCAGGCTGGGCAGACAGAAGTTTTCACGTGTATTCGTTTCCTAGGGCTGCACATCAAAATACCACAGCTTGGTGGCAGAAATTGCCTGTCTCAAGTCTGGAGGCTGGAAGGCTGAAATCAAGGAAACGGGCGGGAGCTTCCTTGGCTCTTTCTGGCCCCTGATGACTCCCTCAATCCTTGGTGTTCCTGGGCTTGTGGCAGCGTAACTCCAACCTCTGCCTCTGTCTTCACGAGGCCTGCTCTCCTGTGTGTCTGTGTCCAGATCTCTCTCATCTTGCAAGGACGCCAGTCATTGGATTAGGGCCATCCTCACCCAGTGTGTCCTCAGCTTCACTTGATTACATCTTTGCAGACCCCCTTTCCCGAAAAAAGTCACATTCACAGGTCCTGGGGGTTAGGATGTCGAGATATCTTTGGGAGAATACAACTCAACTAAAACACCATGTAATGGAGGGATGAGTGAGACAGGAAGAGCAAGAGTTCCCTGAGGACTGAGCTAGTCTGGGAAGGCTTCCTGGAGGAGCGGACTGTTATAACTGGGCCTCAACGGAAGGAAGACTTGAGGTGCCCAGTGAAGTAGTGAACAGTGGTGTGAAAAGAGGTTAGGAGGCAAGTTGGAGTCTGTGCAGACCTTGAATAGTGGGTTGATGTCTCAAGAAGAAAAGTTTGGCGGAAGGTCGACAGAAGCGTGATGCGATTGTTCTGGCCGTGCCTTTCAGACCTGAGCCTCCCCGGGGGCCCACAGTGCCAGGAGCGACGGAGGAGGGAGAGGTGATCTCTGGGGAAAGGCTAGCTGGCTGCAAGGGCAAAACGTCTTTAGAGTGTCCTGAGTTAAATTCGTGGAGGGTTTGGATTCTCCCTCATGGTATGACCCTTTGTTTTAATGGTTTAAACTATGGGCTGTTTTCCACAATATTCCAGTTCGTTTGAGCTCCCCAGGCAGGTGTGTACCTGGCTCAAAGAACCCCCAGAGCCGTGTCCTGATGGCATGACGCAGGGCACCAAGAAGCCACTCTCTGCAGCCCAGGGGACAACGCGTTCCCCTCCCAAGAGCGAGCTGGCTCTTTGCAGACCGTGTGCAGCTGGTCTTCCATTCCTGCACTCCGGGCCAGCCTGCCCCCACGCACGAATAACCACCCCCCAGCTCACACACTCAGACACCTCACAAACACACTCACGTACTTATCTCGCACGCCAACATACCCCTCACTCTTAGAGACACATCTTACGTGCACACTCACATATTTACACTCACATAATCATTCATGCTCATATACTCACAACTCAAACACCTCACTCTCATGCCTCACACTTGCTTCTTACTCTTCCAACATCCCTCACACGTACACATGCCTTAAACCCTTATACTCACACACTTCAAACACATACCTCACACTCATGCACACCTGTTCATGCACATATGTATGCCCTTACACGTCACACTCACACAGATATACCTCATCCCCTCACACACTCATACTCTCATACGCACACTTGGCGCAGGCGCCTGGGCTCAGAATCCTTTTCACATGGAGCGTGAGTTGCTGCGGCGTTCTGCGGTCCTCACTGGCGCAGGCGCATCTGCAGCCCCCTCTCTCCAGAGCCCCGAGCTGCAGTTTGCTGTGATGGCTGCAGGGACCTCGGGCACCCTCATCTCCCTACGAGCTTGGGAAGGACTGAGATGGGCCTGTTTTACAGATGAGGAAACAGAGACCCACTGGAGTCCCCTGGCTCCCACACGTTGTCCAGAGCTCCTGAGCTGGTGACTGGAGACCGGGTGTTTCTCAGTTACCTTCATGTACTCAGCACCTCGTTCCTGCCTGGCACAGAGCCGTCCTTCCTAACCACGTGCTGAGGGAGTGAGGGATGGTTCCTTTAGGGGGAGTACTGGAGGAAGAGCCTAGCACCCCAGTCCCTGTTCCTCGTTTAGCCAGACTTTTCATGCAAAACCTCCCAGCTACCTACCTCCTCCGAACGGGAAATAGTTGGCAGATGACTCAGAGGGTCTGTGGAGTGAGGGGCCAGAGGTCAGGAAGTGTCTGAGGACTTGATGCCTGAGGTGACACTTTAGGGTTGATGAGTCTTCCGGGTGATTCAGAGAAGTCTGTCTCCCTCAGGCCCCTGGGGTCGCCCTCATTGCTGCACCGTGAGACGGCGGGTGGGGAGCTCCAGGTGTGCAGCGGGGGCCTTCTGGCCTGCTTGGGCTCTAACTGGGCTGTCCGAGTTCCTCCTCTGGTCAGCCGTGGAAGGGAGGGTGTGGCTGTGCCAGCAGGGCTAGGGACCACCAGCGCCCCATTCACTGTCTCCAGAAGTGGCCCCCCTGCCCTCCTCATCTGGAGGAAGACAAGGAGAGCTTTGGGGGCACCCTGCCTCCCATTCAACAGAACGTGGGCCTTGGCCTAATCTCAGTTTAGCAACTCACATTCTTAAAAATAAATATCTAAAAGGGAAGAGTAACTTACAAAGCCCTTTTCCAGGCTTCCCACTCCAGATCCAGTGTCCCCATCTGTGGAAGAAGGGGCCTGGATTGGAGCTGCCCTTCCAGGCTGGTCTTACTCCGTCCGTCTCAGTCCTCTGCTCCCGGCACCTCCAGGGAGCCAGCTCAAGCCTGGGTCCTAAGTGACCACCTCCTCTTCGCTCTTCTCACCCATGCTCTTCTCTTCTCTATTGCCAGGGCTGCTACTTCGCTTCAGACCCTCAGCATCTCGCGTGAGGACAGCTTCACAGCCTCCCCACTGCAGTTCCCCGACCCTCCACATCATGGCTAGATCCCCTGCCCTCTTGGAAGCCTTTCTCATTCTACAAATGTGACTGTCGTTGTGGAGCTTAAACACTCTTCCTCAGCTCCCCTGGCCCTCCAGATGGTTCCCAACCTCCATCTTGGCCTCGAAGGCCCTTCACAAATCCTGCTTCCTTACCTCTAGGCCCAGTGTTCCCTGCGGGAGACCGTTAGGAGCAAGCAGTCCCCTTGACATGTCCCTGCTGGCCACCTGCCTGTCCCCTCCACCCAGAAGGGCCCCTCCCTTGTGTGCCTGGTGAATGTGGGCCCCTGTCTCCCTTCTCAGCCCCACACACAAAACTTGTTCGGTACTCCTCAGACCATGACGAATCCTTAACCCTCGCAGGCCCAGAGCTTCAAAGAGTGCTGGGCGTGGGGTGTCTAGACGTGTGACAAACAGCCGGATGAAATAAATGAATAGCAAAGAACAGAACTGAATGGAAGTCGGAAATCAAAGCGCTCAGAGACAGCACCGGCTTTGAGAGTAAGCTTTGCAGTGCCCCCCTTCCCCTGAGCCCACCTACAGCCTGTGGCTGGCACAAAGAGCCAGATCCAGGAAATCAGCAGTATTTCAAATCCCCCTGCTTAGGGGTTGGGTTCCCTCTCCCTTTGCCAGGGGCTCTGACAGGAGTCAGGATTGGGCTTTTCATAAGCTGTGGGTGACAACCAGCCTATGAATCCAGGCTTGTGATGACAACCCCCAGTGCCAGACCGTGCCAGTGTCATTCAGGGCCAAGAGAAATGCTGGCTCCCGCCTGGCCTTACCAAGGACCAGGAGCTGGGGACCTAGCCAAAGAATGTGCTTTGCTTGGGGTTCACATTCCAGAATCAGCTTGGGAGGCCAGGGGCTCAGGTTGCCAGTGGGAGCCAGGCACAGGGCAGGGAGGTGGCACCGGGCAGACCTTCCGCCGCCCTCTCTCCTGGGCACCTTTCCCATGCCCTGCCTGCCTGGTCCTCCTGGACCTCCCTGAGGGCAGGGTGGCAGCTGTGCAGGCAGGGCCAGGAGGAAGAAGACACTCCATCCTCGAGGGAGCAGCCTTTCAATGGAGTGTGCGGTGCCGAGCCCTGAGCCATAGCATCCACTGCCATAAATGCCCAGCTGCCGGGAGCCTTTAACAGTTTACAAAGAGCCTCTGTGTTCAGGGGCTCCTCTGATCAATTAGACGCAGGTCACCCGCCCTACACCATGTGGCCAAGAAGGGGCAGAGCTAGGAATGGAGCCCCATCCTCTGACTGCCATTCTGAGGCTCCTGTGCCCCCTGCCTCAACTGCATTAACAGCCTCTGTACCCCAGGATCTAACCCAAGGCCCCAGCTTCACAGGGTCAGTGAAGGACGAATGAAAGAGCGGATGTGGAAGTGTTGACCCCTGTGAAGATGGGGGTTCTTTTTACTTCCTTGCACCACATCTCAGTCCATCAGGAGCTCGGAGGACTGACAGCAACCACACAGCAGGGTCAGTCGGTGGGAAGTGCTTGGTGAGTCCGGATGCCAAGGGCTGAATCCCCTGAAACCTTTTACCCTAGTTGCCCCCTCTGCTTCCCAACCCCACAGCAATGGGGTTGCTCAACCTCAGAGACCGAGAAAAGCACACAGAAGTGAGGGGCAGAAAGAGAAAAGCACACAGGAGTGAGGGGCAGAAAGAGAGAAAGACCTTTTTGTTTTGCCATTTACGAGGTAAGGAGACCCTTCCCAAAACACTGACTAGAAGCCCTGACTAAATCGACACAAATATCTACCCAGCCCACCCCTGACTCTCAGAATACCCATGTTCTGGCCTTAAAAACCACACTGAGCATAATTCAACGCCCTTTCTTTTTGCCCCCAGGTCAGGCGGCTCCCTCCCTCCCCCAGCACAGAGCTCCAGCCTTGGGCACTTTCAGTGACCACTTCCTAGCTCTGAGCTTATCTTAACTGTCCTCTGTCTCAGATCACATCAACTGTAGCTCAGGGAGCCTGATAAGCCCCCTGGTGTCACAGCACTGCGCACACACGCACGCACACACACACACACACACACACACACACACGCCACGCTTGGGTCTCTGCCAGACCTGGGCGGGAGGGACTTGGGAGGACCAGAGCCCAGCAAAACCCCAAGCTGACTGATAGGAAACCATCAATCTGACAGCCTCCCCTCTCGTTCCATCCCACAGCAACCCCACGAAGCAGTCATGAGGCACGTTTCAGGTCAACACAAAGAAGCTTAGTTTACTTGAGACTTGGGCAAATCAAGAATCATCTCTCAGCCAGAGTATGATGGCTAAGAGTGCTGTTTCTGGAGCTGGATTGCCCGGGCGCCAAGCTGCCTCCACCACTTGCCGGCTCATGACCCTGCACGGGCAGTTATTCAATTTCTCTGTGTCTCAGCCTCCTCATCTGTGCAATGGAGATAATCGTATGTTAGCACCTGCTTCAGAGAATTGTGGTGAGGATTGAATTTGTTCATGCAGGGGCTAGCACACAGCAAGTGTGTTAGCTGTATGAGAGTAATTCTTATCCATAGAGTTGCCGAGAGATGAGAGAGAGTCACAATCAACTAGTGGCAGGGCAGAGCAGAGCCTGGAGCCCAGGCTGCCAGACTCCTGAGCCAAAAGCATCACGCCAGTCTGGAGATGGGAGAGGGTACAGGGCCCCTGACTGTCGTGTAGTGAAGGAAGCAGTGACCAGGTGGGTGAAAGAACGGGAGTGACTGAGATTTCCTATCTGTCCCTACTTAGATACTGCAGAGAAGTTATGGCAGAGTCGAAATGGAACTCAGAGTTGATTTATCCCAATCCATTTTTATAGATGGAAAACGGCCCCCAAGAGAGAAAGTCCTTGGCCACGACCACAGTGTGGGTTGGTGGTGAAAGAGGAGCTGGAACCCAGGGCTCCTGACTCCTCTCCATCTGTGTGTGCTTTCTCTGCTGCTCCAGGCGGGAGACAGGGCAAGCTCTCTGACTTGGGGAGAAGAACTAGCTTCTCCCTGGGTCACATCCCTCCCAGGCCTGACCTGTGAATGA